TATCCCCTTTTGAGCATCTAAGAAATATTGCTCTCACTAGTTTAGTTTCCTAAATCCAGTGAAATGCCCAAAGTTAAACATATCTCAACAAGTTTGCTCAAATATGGAGACAATGTCCCTATTCCCCCAAAATGTGGTTAACCTAATCGTTTCACTCAGTATTCTTTTGAATCTTATAGTTCACGATGAGTTTTAACTAATCTACTATCTAGAGAGAATGTTAATTATGTTTTAAAGGTTAACACAATGCTAAATACAAGTTTCAAATTGAATCACATCAATTATGCAAACCTAATATTCCTAGACATTCATAACAAAGGAGAAAGGAATATCTACTCGGTACACATGCTTGTACACTTAAAAAAAATCATTATATTAGACAAAGAAATCTACATAGTGGTCTACAAATGAAATTCAATTAAAAACAACTTCAAGTACTTTTCTCTTTTTCTATTTTGAATAGGAAGATGATATACAAGCAAAAAATTTTGCACACACTCAATCTTCCAATCACTCTCCTTGCTATTTTCAATAGAACTTTGAAGTTCTTCCCTGGCTTTCTCCACAAATTCTTCACACTTATAATAGGCCAGAAAAGTTCTATATTCACTCGGTCAAGCACTCTCAATAGTTTTTTTGGCAAAACTATAAAGTCAGCCATTATGATTAATCAAAAGTAATTTTATAAGCTCATTAGTTTCACTAGGGTTCAAAAGTCACCCATTGTGTCTAAGCATTAGGCTATTGAGTTAAGCTAGGTTCTACTTAAGAATTAATGTTAGGGTTGGGTTGACTAACCAAGCCATGTTTAGATTTACTTTGAATTTAAGATTGAGTCTACTGAGTCGGCTTAAAGGCCCACTATTTTCTTGGATAGACTTCCCTATGCTTTTTGGCCTAATTAACAATCAATCACCTCTTTCACTCACTAAATATTAGAGATCTCTCATAATAAAATTATTATTTCTTTTATAATGAAACGTTCTCCCCGATACCCCTATAGTTGATGTTAGTGTTTAATCAAATAGTTTTACATTTAAAATCTTTTGTGTGGAGTTTATTTTCATTGTTGTGTTAAGTCATTCCTTAATAATATGTATCCAAACTTTATATGTTCATACTTGAACTTTGAATGCATTTATTATGCATTTCTTACTAAATCACAAGTTTATATCAACTTACTTCTTTTTAACACTTAGGAGTTTTATGAAAAGGCATGCTATTCTTTTTAAAGGTATACTTTAAGGAGGTCACTACTTCAAAGAAGCTGTTGTGAAGACTAATTAAAACTTTCCAACACATTATATATATATATATATATATATATATATATATATATATATATAAACACACATATATATATATATACAAACACACGCACATGCATATAAATAAAGTACGGTGGGTTTAATATTCCAAACCTTTGTACTTCTAATAAAGAATATGTTATGTTGTGAAAACTAGAGTTTGTAGAGTTGGACTAACTCAACCCAATGGAGTGAAATGTCTCGCCACCAATCTATATGAAGCCTGCAATGAACTTTATTGAATTCAAGGAATTAATCCTTAACCAAACGAAAAGCCTTATATTTATTAGTTTTCTACTCATTGATGTGATGATTAAAGAGCAAAGAAAGATACCTTATGAGTACAAGGATTATTTTTCCTAAAACAGAACAAAAATATTAAGTTCATCCATTGAGGTTGTCATACATGAGTTAGCCATTAAACCTAAAGATTCATTAGTTAAGCATTCTCTTCTATTTATGCAAGTAAAAATTTCACATTAAGTGATTGTTTAAAAAAAGGTACTCATCCAAGTTAACTTATTCCAAGAAGATAAATATATTTACTAGATTGTTGACATCATCCTACTGAAGAATAATTTGAGTATGAACTTTATTTTCTTCAACTTTTATAAGATCTTTATAAGGTAAAAATCAAATTAAGATGAGGTAGAAGATGACCTTAGCTTTATAAGATGTTGATCAATCTAAAGAAAGACAAAACACCTTGCTAGAGGTTGATCATATATCACTTCAGTTACCTCGTATAAAAATAATGAAGGTTTTCTATGATTTTATTAAAAATATTGATTTTCTTAAAATCAAGCAAATAATTTACAAAATACATCTAAGAGAGTTTTAAAGTTTAGTAAGACTATGAATCTTTTGAAATAAACTTTTGGCCTATGTTTTACAAAAATTTGTCGGCTTTAAAATAAGCTAGAAATACGTCAAAATATATATCTCCAAACTAGACCTTTTAATCAAATATTGTCACCTAAAATGTTTAATCAACTTAACTTACTTTAATACGATCATAAAAAAGAGAAAATTTCAAAAATTAAATCCTCAGAGAAAATTATAATACCCTCACAAATCCAACCAAAAGCTAAATAAATTTACATAACTTACTACCCAACAAAAAAATTGTATGAACAGACATTCCACCATAATATACTATACAAATATTGAATGAAAAATGCTCCGAAAAAAGAGAAATTTACATACTAGCACACAATTCTTATGTATTTACATATCTTATATCAACCTTTTCTTATTTACATAGATAACATTTAGGTATTTGAATATATATATATATATATATATATATATGTATGTATGAGAGTTTAGAGGTACGTTATATAAAATATAGAGAGAGATGCAATATACCAAGGTGGGACACACCGACTAGAAAAACACTTCCATAACACGTGTGCTACACATTCTTCAAATTCAAATTTTCTGTCCTCTTGACTACAATGTCTCAAGCATAGAATCTGTGCAAAATGTGAATCATGTGTCTACCATCCACTTTTTTTTTTTTTTTAATAAATAAAATTAAGTATTTAGTGACAATTAGAACAAAATTAATAATTTAATTGTGTTCCAAATTTGTTGAAATTGGTGCATTTATTAGCTAAATGTAACAAACAAAATTAGGAGTTGGATATGTAAATACGTAGGAATTGGGTGGTTTGTATATAAATGCATCCATGCAAGTATGTATGTATGCATAAAACATATGTTGACCCAAAATGCAGTTATCACAAGAAAATTTATCTGAATTAGGAGAAATTAAATAATTGCCTTCAAACTTAATTTTTTCATAATAATTTGACTTATAGTAAATGAAATTATCGAGATATTAATATTATGGTATTAATAAATATGAAAATTAATTAGAATGATATGATGTTAAATCTCAAAATAAGTGTGTTTGCATAAAAAAATTAAATAATAAAGAATAAGAATTCATATTTTTAACTACGGCTATAAATTATGAATCTATGCACAACTTGAACTCAACTCGATTAAGACTTGATCATGTTCGTTCAAATTAGTAAATAAACAAGTTGAACATGAATTTTATGTTCAGGAGCAAACTCGGTTGTCGTTCAACAAGTAACTCGATAATAACTCGTATATTATATATGATATTTTATTTAAATAAAATTGAATTAGTTAGAATTTATTTCATTATAGATTTAATAGTAATATATTATTATATCAATATTATTTTTTAGTGTAATTATTAATTATATATTTATTTTATTAATAATAGAATGATAATTTAGAATGAAATATTTACTCATAACATTGAATGTAATGAGTTAATTTTTTATAACTATCGCACTGCTTATACCAACAATATTAATGTGTATTGTCTTATTACTAACATTTTCTTATTAAATTATCATCTCTATAACTTTTAGGGCCATTTTAGTTCTTCCACTTATAGAATTTGAACTATTATAGTTCTATCAATAAGCACTATTTAGCTAATTATTAAAGTTTAAAGAATTTAGAGTTCATCGACAAATTAGTAGCTGCGATTAGAATTGTAAAATTATTTATTAAATTTTTATATGAAATCTAGATTCTCATTTGAATTTTTAATTTGTTTGAATACTCATTCAGTTGTCATAAACAAATCAAGTTCAAACATTGAAAGAGTTGGACAAATCAAACTTGAACAATGTATGAAAGCTCGACAAAAGCTCAAGTCAAACATGAACAACTTACGATTATACCAAGCCAAGTCCAAACATTGATATACTTGGCTCGGCTTGATTGCAACCTTATTTTTAAACTTAAATGCATAAAGATTTATAAATTACAAATTTGACACTTGGAGAATTTGTTGCTTTTTCTTTTAAAATATTATTATTTTATTACATCATGTCAATATAAAAAATATAAATAAATAAACAAATTCCTTCACCTAAATATCTACTATTCAAGAACACAGAGAGTTGAATTCAAATGAAGAATTCTTCCATTTTCTTCTTTGACTAATCATGTAACTCGTTTATTACGTTGATTGTTCCAAACATAAGCTGTAAAGTTTCCTAAACTTTCCCTAATTAAATAATAACAACATTCAATTTATTTTTAGCAAGTTTTACATTCATACCACTCAATTCCTATGTATCTAAAATTCAACTTTTACGTATATGCCATTTTACTGGGCATGAAAAAGGTGTATTTCACCTTTAGAAGTTAAAATAATGGTATTTTTTTCATGTTCCAAAAAATTTGTGGGATATAATTGTAAAAATAGGAAGTTTAAGTATAGGTATGTATGTCAATGCCTCTTTTTAAATCATATTGTTATCACATGTGATAGTAGTGGTACCTCCTGCTGTGCTCACTGAATGACCTTGATCATAAGCCATTTATGCTGAAAAAATATAAAGTTATGAAGAAATAAATCAAATTAAGAGCTCTCTTCATTAATTTAATCTTTTCAAACTTTCAAATTTCTCAGTAATTAATGCAATTTGCTGAAAAGTTTTTGCATATAGTCTTTACAGTACTGAATTCAGTATGCTGCATGCATTCATTGTGCCTGCCAACATATTCATTGCAAAATATCAAACATTTAGTTCACAAATTCAAATTCCCAACATTAGAACTTCAAGTTCAAATTGAAGTGTAGATTTATACTTTCAAAAAAAAAAAAATCTTACAAGATTCATACAATTTGTTTTCAATTTGCTTGGTAAAGCAGAAATCTTGAAAACAAAGAAAGTGGGGGCTGCTTTAAGCAAGCCATCGCTAAACTAATTCCTAACATTAGAGCTAAGCTATAATATCTAAACAAAAGTGGAGAGATTCAATCAATTTTTCGAAGATGGAAGTTCAAAAACCCTTTCTGATATTGCATTAGCTATCGATGTTCGGAAGTTTGGGTCTTTCGTCAATACGGCAGCCATTTGCTCAATCATAACCTTATGAAACCCAAAAGAAGCTACCTCTGTGCTAGCCTTATTTGAATTTGAGCCACACCGGTCATCCGTAAGGTCAACATTGATCATTTGGACGGCGGAGTTAGGCACGGAGCTAACGCCTTGGCTCGAACGAGGCGGACCTTCGCCTTGCAATGGAGGCTTATGATTGTGCTCGCCTTCATACGTGGCAACTAACACAGACAAGTCTTCAACACTTCTTTGCACCTATATATTCAATATGGAAAATTCAAATTCAAATTTTATGTACTAACGGTCAAATTATAAATGTTCTCTTTTTTAATATGTACCTTTTTCTTAACCGGGCATGAAGGGGCAAAGGAGCATCTGAAATAAGCTCTTGGAGAGGGATTATCTCTTGTAACTTTCTGCCCATATTTCCTCCACTGATAACCATCTTTCACCACCTGTGATCATAAACCAATCAATCAATATAATTCTTATAACCATCTTCAATTTCAGCATACACTCTTTCTGAAACTTACCAAAGTCGATTTATCGGATGGATCGGTCTTCACACAAATCTTCGACACACTCGGCTTAGGATCAACCCTCATCCTCTGATAAGAATCTTCGCTAGACAAACTCTCTACATGCGAGATAAAGTGGCTGTTTTCGTCGTTGCGGCTATCAGATTCGAGGCTTATCGTCTTCCTTTTTCTCGTGGTCGAACCACCTCTTCCCCTCTCGGAAGGCGACGAGTTCATGAGATCCAGAAGCTGGTTCTGAAGATTATTATAACTCACAGTCATAGCACTAAGCTTCTCATTCAGCTTCCTATTCTCTTCACTCAACTTTTGCACTTTCAACCTCATCCCCTCAACCTATTACAAGACATATAAATTGTGTAGAAAAATCAAATATCAGAAACTCCCCAATTAAGAATCTTTGAGCTAGACAATGGGGATGAAACAAACCTCTTCTTTACCCTGCGAAATACTTCCAATTTGAATCGAATTATGAATCAAATCTCTCGAGTTAACCTGAATTTATCAGTATCATATCATATTATATCAGTATCATATCATACCATACCACAGATGATGAACAACCGTGAAGACTACTAACCGGGGCTTCTAAAGAGAAATTGGTTAGTCCGACACTGAGGTCAAGATTGACGGCAGAGCAAGCGAGCCGAGGGGATGGTTCCATGATGATTGCCGTTGCAAGAAGCGTCGGTGAAGTAGTTTGAGTAGAAAACTTGATGAAGAAGAAGAAGAAGACTTGGAAAACTGAAGGGTGGAATCTATGCTTATAAGAAGAGAAGATGAGATGGGGACAGATATAAGATGATATAACAGCCATGAGATCATCCATTTGATGTCATATTGGAAGAAGGAGATGACTATACAGTGAATGAGGAAGAAAGTCTTCATTAGGATGTCGGCTGTGGATTGGTAGGCATTGGAGAAAGAAGACAAAGGAGGAGAACTAAGCATTAGTTGGGAAGAATCTGCTTGACTTTTCTTTCCTTCCCTTCTAGTCACGTTTTGTGCGCAGTTTTCTTTCTTTTTTTATTTTCCGTTATGTATTTACATATCCAACACATAAATTTCAATTTTTACATATTTTCAACTTATGTACACCTGATGCTTTTTTAATAAATTAAATAACTTATATTCTGATAAAAAATTTGAGCTTTAAAAGTAAAAAGATTTAATATTTTATTTAAATTTATGTATTAAATTAAGAAAGTTTTTGCTTCCGGCCCCCCTGATTTGTGTACATTTGCAAGCTAGCCCCTGACTAATTTCACATTTAAGTAGATAAAATTACAATTGGCAGAATTTTAGGCAGCTGAGATGGGCAAATGGAAATTTTAATATGTTTTTTTCTTAAAATTAAAGAGGCAAAATTCAATTTGAAAATCTTGACGGCAATTTTATATAAAATGTGCTACGGACAACGACTGCAATTTAATAGTCGGTTTGGGGATGACGCAAATGTGAATACGGAAAACCAGGGAGGCGGGCGAAATTATTGACTGTTTCTGACCATTTATTTGCTTAATTCGTTATATGACTTCATTAGTGATGCAAACATATTATTTTTATTGAAATTGAAATTTTTATATATTTTAATTGTAAATTCTTAGCACTTGCTGCTCATTAGAATATTCTCCGCAGCAAAAAAAAATTTAATAAAAAAGAGAGAGTTCATTCATTTGACCCCCCCTAATAATTGAATTTGTTCATTTTTATGCGGACATGTGTAGGTGACAAAAAAAAAAACATTTTAGAGCAGGAGAATATTCCTCCCGTATTATTCCGCATTATTCGGGTGATCTTCATGATAACATATGAATACAACTACAATAACACATGAAAAATACATAATAACACAGGAGGAATACTCTCTTGTGTTATCGGGCCGGATCACAGGAAAACACTTGTTTCCTTGAAGCCACGTGCTCGCATATCAGTGGACTTCGAACGTAACTCTACATTAAGAGTACGATGATGTTAACATATCAAATGATCATATTAATCACATATTATAGTTTATTTTTAATCGCTGATTAAACTTATATCACATAAAATATTATTATTATAACTTTTAGAAGTAAAATATATTTTTTATAAATAAATAAAATTAT